CCTCTTTCCTAACGGTGCCTTCTGTTTTGTACTCCATCTTCTCCAGGTCTTCCATTTCCCCTGCTCCTGGTTCATCCTTTACCACTGCTGGCTCCAACGGGATCCCTTCCATTTTTCCTTTGTTAAATACTTTTTTTAGTCACTCTACTTTGGAAAAAAAATTCATTTTTGATCCCTATATTTAGAAAAACTTTTTTTTAGTCAATAAAATTTAAAATCCAATCTTTTTTTATATCCTCCGTTAGTTAAACGATGACATGGCACAATTTCCGTCAACTAATTATGTTTTTTAAATTTTAAATATTAGATAAAAATGAGGTGTAAATGCAAAAAAAAAAAATTATGTGACATTATTAAATAATTTTTTTAGTTCTGTAAACCATCTACAAATTTTCTTCTTCAAAGCCAACAAATCATCATAATTTGGGTATTCTATTGCAATTGCAAGCATCAATAATTCAGCATTCATGAGAAATGAAATCAAAGAAATTACCCATTATTGATGAAAAGCAGATGATAAATTGGGGAAAAATTTTTAGAAGTCATAGCAACAACCACTATGTTCCCAATCGCCATAGTGAGTAGGCTCGGGACCTCTAAGGCCACTGATCTCACTAGTCTCTTTATTCACATGATTGTCATCTTTATCTTCATTCTCTTCATCTACTTTGTTCTCAATTTCAAGATTCTCCTTCTCTGTTGTTTTTATCTTTTCTTCAGTGACGACGGATTGGCGATTTGTCTGAGGTTGCTGGGTTGTGGAACAAAGGAGGTGAGTTGCCTAGTAGGAAGTGAAATCGGATCTGGTGAAGATGGAGCTTAAATCTCATAAATTGAAGAGAATAGACAAGAAAAGCTGGATCTCGCCATTGTTTTGAGCCCTGTGAATAATGAAAACCCCAATTTATTTTTGTTGATTTTAATCGAAACCCAAGTGTTGGGTTCTGTGAGGAACCCAGGTGTTAGGTTCCATGAGGAACCCAAGTCATGAAACCCAGAACCTGGGTTACGTGAGGAATTTAGATATGGTTTCATCTATTGTAAACTGCAATCTACCCATGTCCATGCTCACAGATGGCCAACAAGTCTTGTAAGCAGTGGAGATGAGGATGATGAAAAGGATGGCGAAGATAAACAATGACGATGATGATGCCAAGGATGAGGATGAGGACGAGGATAAGGATGAGGACAAAGAAGAAGACGAAGAAATTACAGTTAATATTGTTTAAATTCATTTAATTTATTAATTAAAAAGTAACATTTTTAATTTGTACATGTAACTCAAGATATTTAGATGAAATGCTTATATAGGTTTATAATTATATCCACATAATCTTATCTTGACAACATGGATGTCCACATCATTTATAACATCAATGATTTTGTTAATTAACTTGATAGATTAGTAAATATTTAACGAAAAGATCAAAAAAAGATTGGATTTTAAATTTTAAGGATTAAAAAAACATTTTTTTAAATATAAGGATCAAGAACAGATTTTTTTTCAAAGTAGAGGAACAAAAAAAGGTATTTAACCTTTTTCCTTTTAATTATCCAACATATGAGTTTCTTTAGATCTAAACATATGAGTTTCTTTAATCTGGTTGGTTTTTAAGTCTGGGATTTAGGAGAAAAAACAAATTATATGCCTGGATTTATGTAAATTGAAGAACACATTTGAATTTAGTGATATGAAATTCTAGTACTCTTCAACCTGTGTATCCTGGCAACATGAACTCTATCCTTAAAGCCACTTTTAAATGTTCCAATTTGAAAAAAAGTCTCTCCATTTCTCTAATTATTCCACGCGTTAGAAAATTTCAGATTTTTTTAAATGAAAGATTTCAGGTGATTAAATGCACGAAAACTGCAAATTTCATGGT